CTCTTATTTCTTACTGGGGGGGTGGGGGGTCTTAAAACGGGCTAAATTCAAAACATAACCACACAGAGAGAAAGAAGTGCTATTTCTCAATGATCGGGTAAAATTTCGGTGTCTTAAAGTTACTTAATAACAGGTTTTGGGTAAGGTTAAATGAGGTTAATTCTTCTTTTGATCAACCTCCTTGTTCTGGAAGTGAAAAGGCAGGCAGACAGGCAGGCAGACAGGCAGGCATAGGCACAAATTGCTTTAATTATTTTCGAGAAACTTTTGAGTTAAAAAAATTCAATCAAAATACAATCATGTCACTTTAAATATTTTGGATACTTTAAATATTTTTGATAAACTTTTAAGCTAAAAATCAAGCGATCAAAAATTTAAGGATTTCATGGCAAACAGCTTGTAGTACAAAGGGATACAGAGGAATTTGTTTCTATTGGGCTTTAAATGGACAAAAAGGATAATTGTTCAGCAATGCAAATCCCAAGTCAATAGCATTAGCTAATCTAATCAGGCCACATGTCATTTTAATGTCATCTTATTAAAATACCTTGATAACTGATGCCTTGTTTGAGTCTTTCTTTTACGTTTCTAGAGGAAAAAAGATATGATACTTATAAGCGAATCACAATAGACCCTTTTCGAGTACCAAATTACCGCTGTGTTTCTTGATTACAGACTCATTTGCTCAGGCTAAGCCTCGATTTTGTGAACAATATTCATGTTTTCCAGTCAAGGTCCGTCAACTTTTCTAAAATTGTCGTATTGTTGAACTTGTGCATTCTTTACTTTACCGTTGGTATTTGCGAGTAATTAGACACTGATTCGAGGCTAAGCCTGAGCAAATGAGTCTGTAATCAAGATAACACAGCGGTAATTTGGAACTCGAAAAGGGTCTATTAGAATGAGAAAATAGGAATAGTTCATTTGGGTCTTTTATTTTATGTCGCAGTTTTACATGGTAATGCATGAGTTATATAAACTTAAATTTTACAACCACCACCCCCGTACTCTTCTGTGGGGTTCCCTCCACACGCATACAACACTCAACTCACATGTTGGTTTTTACGGAGGGAGGCAACCGTAGAACCCGTAGAAAACCCTCGTGGCAAGAGAGAGCACAACACATCAGTCCAGTCTGATTATGAGCCGGGGCTCGAACCCGGACCCGGCACAGCGATGATAACATTTTCCCAAAAACATTCTCTGTCCAAACTCGCTGACAGAATTATGACCATCTATTTAGTACCAAAAATCTAAAGTTTCAGGGAAATCGGTCAATTTTTAAGCGAGCAGGAGGACTATATTGTCGAAAACCACTGTTAGAAAATGGTCCGTAACAAAAACCCGACTCGAAAACAATATTTCGAATACAAATTCAGAAATATCCGAGTATTTTTAAAGCGATACGAGCGAGTTCAAAAATCGCTAAATTCACTCGCAATTATATTATAAAATATTCGAGTTCGATATCCAGAGTCATATCAGTGTCCGGCCGTCCTTTCGTAACCTTCATACTTGAAAACAAACTCGCATTGGAACGGCGTTCAATAATTTCTGGATTTAAAAATTATTTTCCGAATTGGGATGTAAATTTCTGAATTCGGTCATCATTTAATATTGAAGTTGGATATTAGTTTTCGAAATCTAAATAGACACTTTTTTATTTGGTGCCTTTACGACGTAATGCGTTAGAATATACGATAATATAATAATAATAATA